GTGGGTGCATGCTGACCACTTGGCATGACAAATGTGTTGTGTGGGTGCATGCTGACCACTTGGCGTGACAAATGTGTTGTGTGGGTGCATGCTGACCACGTGGCGTGACAAATGTGTTGTGTGCGTGCATGCTGAGCACTTGGCGTGACATATGTGTGGTGTGAGTGCAGATTCCTTTAGTGTAGCGTCTAATCAAACAGGCTACAAGGCATTTATTGTAATGCAGTGTCTAGTCTAATCTGTGAAAGCAGATGCTCGTAGGCCTGCATGGTCAATGTAGGGATGCAGTTCACATGTGAAAAAAGGAGATTCCTTCAGTGTAGCGTCTAATCATACAGTGGTTCATTCATTGCATAATGTGATTATTTATTCAGCATTTTGTATAATATTTTTATTCATCGTAATGTGATTTGTTTCATCAGTGTAGTATTATTTATTTCATCATACTATTTTATTTCATCATACGATTTTGCATATTATACTTCAGTGTAGTATTATTTATGTCATCATACTATTTTCCATAGTATACTTTATTCATATTATGGAGCATGCGTGATAAATGAACATCACATGTAAATGCAGAAGTTTACATTGTCACTTCATATCAAGTCTGTGGTTCACGTTATTGATTATGGAGCATGCGCCATAAATGTAAGGCAGACAGAGATTCCTGACTTGCACATCACATGTAAATGCAGAACTTTGCAGTTTCAATTCATATCAACTCAGTGGTTCACGTTATTGATTAAGGAGCATGCGTGGTAAATGAAAGGCAGAACTTTATTGATACATGCAAAAACACTAAGCCCATTTTATAAAGCCTTTATCAAACACACTCAAAGACTCAAACATCCAGAAGCACTAAGGTCATTTTATAAAGCCTTTATCAAACACACTCAAAGACTCAAACATTCAGAAGCACTAAGGTCATTATATAAAGCCTTTATCGAACACCCGCAAACACTCAAACATTCAGAAGCAATAAGGCCATTTTATAAAGCCTTTATCAAACACACTCAAACACTAAAACACTCAAACACTAAAATGTTGTTACACCCCGTTATTCAGACACCATAATTTCCACAATGTCTCAAACAGCACAACACATGATTGCCGCTCATATGAATGGTGAAGCTTTCGAATGTGAGGATTCGGGATACACTTTCAGAAACACGGAGGTTACAAGATTTTTAATTGACAGAAGGTCTAATTTTTCACACCTGAAGTCAAGAATCGAAAAAAAACTGCAGTGCGGTCCAGTTGGACAAATAGTATACAAAAACCCAGTATTCTTTGGCGGACTTGATTCGTGCAAATTTTTTCCTTTAAAGGTGCGAGATGATGAAGACGTGCGTAACATGTTCCGCACTCACGAGTATTCAGGGTTCTCAGAAATCATGGTATACGTTACGTTACAACAGCAACAACTGTCTCAGCAACTTGATTCGTCACAAGTTTTTTGTGATTCTGAAGATGAACACCCCGAAGTCAATGTCGTGGACGAAGAAGAAGAAGCACATGAGGTCATTGTTGACGAGATGGTGAACAATCCTGAGGTTGAAGTTCAACCTGAGCATGTCTATTGTCCACGAAATCACATGACTGATATCACCTTAGTTGATGATGAACCCCCAACGGATGTTTTCTACATCCCTAACTACACAACACGGGGCCAACTTAAAGAGGGCGACGAGTTTCGTACGAAACAAGATTGTGTCCATGCTATCAAACAGTTTCACATGGAATTGTCAGCCGATTACAAGGTTGATCACTCAAATCCAACGCGGTATATGATCTATTGCCGTAACGAGGAGTGCCCGTTCAAATTAACAGCATCTTTCAGGAAGAGAAGCGATTCCTGGAAGATAGGGTCAATGGGTCCGTCCCACACCTGTATCATCTCGAACCCGATGCAAGACCATCACAAACTAAACTCTAAGTTGATTTGTGATGAGATTCTATCAGTCGTCAGCGACAACCCATCTTTGAAGGTGAGTACCATAATTGCGCATATGGTACAAAGGTACAACTACACTCCTTCGTACCGAAAAGCCTGGATAGCCAGGAATAAAGCTGTTGAAATGGTGTTTGGAAATTGGGAGGAGTCATACAAGGAACTTCCTAAATTCCTAGTAGCCCTTAAACACTACTCTCTAGGAACTGTTGCGATATTGGAGACGTTGCCTGCTTGTACACCAGACGGGAGTTATGTTGCTGGGAATGGAATTTTCCACAGAGTCTTTTGGGCATTCGAACCATGCATCAAAGGGTTTGCATTTTGTAAACCTATAATTCAGATTGACGGAACCTGGCTTTACGGGAAATATAAGGGCACACTTCTGATGGCTGTGGCACAAGACGGGAACAACAACATTTTCCCGATAGCCTTCGCCATAGTTGAAGGGGAGACTGTTGGGGGTTGGAGTTTTTTCTTAAAAAACCCACGGTCATACGTGTCTCCCCAACCTAACTTATGTTTGATCTCCGATCGACACCCATCCATCGAGAGTGCTTACAACAACCATGACAACGGTTGGCAGGATCCTCCATCGACCCACGTCTACTGCATAAGGCATATTGCCCAAAATTTCATGAGGGAGATCAAAGACAGGACGCTGCGGAAGAAGGTTGTGAACGCAGGGTATGCACTAACTGAACCAACATTCAGATACTACCGTGACGAGATTAGACTGAACAACATGGATGCATTAAGATGGATTGACGGCATTGATAGGGAGAAATGGACGCGAGCATACGACAATGGGGTGCGATGGGGCCACATGACAACCAACCTCGTCGAGTCAATGAATTATGTTTTCAAGGGAATTCGAAACCTCCCAATAACTGCGTTGGTAAAGACAACCTATTTTAGGATGAGATCACTTTTTGATAGCAGGCATGCGAAGTGGGGTTCGGTATTACAATCGGGTCAGCTGTACAGTGACACTGCAATGAAATTCATGAAAGACGAAGCTGCCAAAGCCAACACCCACGTGGTCACAATATTTAACCGTACAACTGGTTGGTTCAGTGTTGCCGAGGCTATAGATCACAATGAAGGAAGGCCCAGGGGATGTTATCGTGTTGAATTAGATAAGAGCTGGTGTAATTGTGGAAAGTTTCAAGCATTCCGAATGCCTTGCTCTCATGTCATAGCAGCTTGTTCGAAGGCGCGCCAGGACCCAACCAACCTTCTTTCTTCAGTTCACCAAGTCATAAGTCTATGCAATGTCTACTCATGCAGTTTTCAGGTGTTGGCAAAGGAGGACTATTGGCCCGAATACGAATGCCAAATTGTTTGGCATAATGACTTGATGCGCAGAAAAAAAAAGGGTCGGCCTAACAGCACGCGCATACGAACCGAGATGGATACCTCGGATAAGCTAGTGAGATTGTGTAGTTCGTGTCGGCAACCAGGACACAATCGTACGACGTGTCCAAACGTTGGTCCGAGTAGCAGATCATAGTTTCATTTGTAAACGTGTCCATTTAAATCAAAAGTAACTTTCATTTGATTAAAATCAAATTTCATGCTATTATAGGCAGAGGTAACTGCAAATTTCCTTCTATTACAAGCAGAGTTAACTTTCATAAATTAAACAAACATAACAACAAATTAAAAAGATACACCAAAACACCGGCACAGAGCGTCTACGATATCACGACCATCAACTTTATCTCCTTTGGTGTCAACATCATCACAAGGACGCCGACATCATTTTCCACTTTTCTCCATTCACGAGTAACTCCGTTTCTATCGGTCTTCTCCACCAACCTCTCAATTTTCCTAATCTTTTCTCCTGGAGCAATATCCCCTTCTAGCCAGCGGTTCAGTTCCCTGTGCAAGTGTTCCAACGTCTGCGTATTCCACAGGAGCACCTTCATCGGAGGCTTTGTTGCTGAAAACACCACAAGTGCATTTCTTTTCATTATATCAAACGTTGGAAAAGGTTCCTCCAATGCTGATGACGAAGAAGAAGAACGTTGATTCAGAAATGCAGACATTATGGACTCCGCTCAACTCAAACCGCACTACCGCTTTAGTCTTTTAGGAAATAATGTTGTGAAAAAAAACTTGTGTTTGAGCTCGTATTTATAGCCAAAAAAAATGATAATTAAAAAACAGTAAGTTAGTGCGCAAATACATCACAACAAGTGAAAATAAAATGCAAAAAAAAGTAAAAACATATTATACAAAAGGATTGATCCTAGGCTAGGAAGGTGAAATGTGCATTTGATGACAAAGTGATTACCACTGGGGTGACTATACATCCATTGATGAATGTCACCCCAAAAATATATAAGGAAAGTTTAAAACCCTAGCTGGGCGATTTAGCAAGCAACCCAATTTACTTTAAATTTATAATTTCATAAAATAATTTAAACTTTTAAACTTAATTTTTTTAATATTATAGATGACATTAAAAATTATATTATAAATTAATATTAATATTAATTATATAAATATTAATTAGATTATAAATTTATATTTTTTATGGTTAATAATAATAATAACTTAAATCAAAAAAGTATGAAAACGAAAACCCTAATAACCAATTCGCCAATTGGTGTGACTAATGGCCACAAAATACACTCTGTCGCCAATTGGTTTGGCGAATGCGTTCAATGCCATTTAGCCTAATTCGCCAATTGCTTTCACGAACGTACGTTGGTCCATTTTCAAACATTGTCAATTTGATAATATTTTTGAAATAGTGATTTATTTGGTAAATAAAAATTAATACATTGCTACTAAAAAAATCGAAAGAAGTTAATAGAAAAAAAAAAATGGTGGCGCACTTTTGGCTTTTTTTTTCCTACTCAGAGAGTATTAATCTCCATCCCTATTCATTGAATTTTGTGACACGCCGGAGATATTTAATCCAGCTAGCAAGATCAATAACTGATCAGAACAAGCTTGACAAGTCATCTCTAAATTCTCTTCCCACATCTCAAACTTTTGATCCATTTCTTCTCAATTTCAACACAAACACTGCATCATGGTGGTCAAAGAACAAGGTTCATCATCTTATTCACTCCCACCATACCCTCAAGAAGACACACCTCTTCTCACAAATTCACCACCCCTCTCTTCCCAGTTCAAAACCTGCGCCAACATCTTCATCGCCATCGTCGGCGCCGGAGTTCTCGGTCTCCCTTACAGTTTCAAACGAACCGGTTGGGCCACCGGTTTGATCATGCTCTTCGTCGTCGCTTACATAACCTACCACTGCATGTTACTTCTGGTCAAAACACGTCGCAAGCTCGAATCAGTAACGGGTTTCTCAAAAATCAAATCTTTTGGCGATTTGGGTTTCACCATTTGTGGCCGATTGGGTCGGTTCTCTGTTGATGCGATGATTGTTCTTTCTCAAGCTGGTTTCTGTGTTAGCTATCTTATTTTCATTTCTTCCACTTTAGCTTTTCTCGCCGCCGGTGATTCCACCGGAGAAACTGTTCCGGTGTTGTTAGGTTTGACTCCGAAGGTTTTGTTCCTTTGGGGGTGTTTTCCTTTTCAATTAGGGTTGAATTCGATTAAGACTTTGACTCATTTAGCTCCTTTGAGTATTTTTGCTGATGCTGTTGATATTACTGCTAAGAGTGTTGTTATGGTGGAAGATGTTTTTGTTTTCGTCAAGAATAGGCCAAGTTTAGAAGCTTTTAAGGGGTTCTCTGTGTTTTTTTATGGTATAGGTGTTGCTGTTTATGCTTTTGAAGGGATAGGGATGGTTTTGCCTTTGGAAAGTGAGACTAAAAATAAGGAGAAATTTGGTAGGGTATTGGGTTTAGGGATGGGTATGATTTCTCTATTGTTTGGTGCTTTTGGTTTGTTAGGTTACTTTGCTTTTGGTGAAGAAACTAAGGATATTATCACTACTAATCTAGGTCAAGGTTTGGTGAGTGTTGTGGTTCAGTTAGGGCTTTGTATTAACTTGTTTATTACTTTTCCTTTGATGATGAATCCTGTTTATGAGGTGTTTGAGAGAAGGTTTTGGGATTCTAGGTATTGTTTGTGGTTGAGGTGGTTGTTGGTTTTGGTTGTGAGTTTGGTGGCTGTTTCAGTGCCTAATTTTGCTGATTTTCTTTCACTTGTTGGAAGTAGTGTTTGTGTTGTTCTTGGATTTGTGTTGCCTGCTTTGTTTCATTGTATAGTTTTCAAGGAGGAGTTGGGTTGGAGATGCATGGTTTCTGATGGGGCGGTTATGGTTTTTGGGATTGTTGTCGCTGTTACCGGAACCTTTAGCTCCGTGTCGGAGATTCTTTCTCCTAAGGCTTGATTTGGTTTGGAAGAAGTGAAGTTTGAAAGATGAAAAACTGCAAAATTTCAGATGTTTTTGACAAGGGAAACATTGTTTATGTGATGAATTCTGCATGCTGCATGTTGAAGATTCTTGCCAGTTATTGCTAATTGGGAAGGAACTCTTTTTACTAGGGTCATCAATTGGTATTGATGCTGTTATTGAGTTTTTATTTTTATTTTTTATGATTGAATGAAGATTATGTGTGATAAAATAAAACTACGAATTCTTGGTTGCTGTATTTTGCAATTTTCTTCATGTAAAGGGAACATTTTTGAAGTTAGTTTGAGAAACATTATAATGGTTGCTGTTTGAAATTTTCTTCTTGATTCATAGGCATATGAATATTCTTTTGTGGATTCGTAGGGGAAAAAGAAGAAAAATGTTGCTGATATGGATCAAAGAGAGATCTGAAAAAGTTGTTGATTGTGTTTAGCATTTAGATTATAGTTTAATTGAATAGTTTGTTAATTTATAGTTTGATTTATGATAAAAAAAAGTGCTTATTAAATATAAACCACTTGATGTAACTTGTAGAGTAGTACAGTACTACATATTACTTCTTGTAGTTTTTTCGTTTGTTTGTGTGAACATACATAAAATGATAAGTGGATGGAAAGGGAAACATGTGACCATTTAAAAATAGAACTAATCCTCCTAACATTAGGAATGGCATCATAAATAAACATTGTTATATCCAACAATAACATGCTGTGTTTGATTTAGTATTTCTATTCCTAGCCACCATGACATGCACATGCACCAACTCCTGCCACATGTTGTTTTAAATAGCCTCTCTACTTGATATTTTGTCTCCACCATAACATGCACCAACTCCTAAGACCATTAGGTACATCCATCAAGTGGATGGATTATTTTTTATTATTAAAGAAATGTTTTATATGACTCTTTATGTATTAAAATGATCGTCGTTTAATATTATTTTTTACACAGATTAAAATAAGATATTATATTTTTATTAAATAATTTTATTAAAGTAGTGTATAAAGTAATAATTAAAGGATAAAATTAAAAAAATTGTAATCTTTATTACATTGAAAAGTGAGAATGACAATTATTTAGAAACAGGGAATACGATACAACAATCGCCAAAGGAAACAAGGATCAAACTAGACTTTTAAAAAATAATAATAATGAAATTTTTCAATTAAAAAATTAAAATACCATAATAATCATATTTCTCCACTATTAACCAAAATGTTCATGTTTTAAACAAAGTTTTTTTTTCCAGCAAAGAGGAGACGCTACTAGTAATGGTGCATGCACTAAAAAATACACATAGACGTCTATCTCACTAGCGCATGCATTATCAATGCGCCAATAGGTCTGGCACATGTGTTGTTGGCCAAAGAGAAGGAACCAATAGGCCTAACGCATGTGTTGTTGGCCAAATAGGAGGCACTAGTAGCTTTGACGCCTATGTGCATTAGATTTTCTTTTATAAACATGTCATTTATTTCCCGCCATTTTCTTACACGTTTTCTCATTTTATTCTCATGTTTTTCTTCAAATTTTCTAACATAATTATTAAAATAAATAGGTATGTTTGTTATTAGAAGAGATAAGTATGTTTGTTATTTGATTTTCAAGCCTCCGTTGAAGATTCAACTTTGAAACACTCAGAGTTTCGAGTATCTTGAGAGGAGCTTGATCAGTTGGTTATACTGAGATTAAAGACGACAAAAAACTAGAAGAATTGATAGATTTGTTTCGGTGTTGAACATTGTAAATGAGAATAACTAAGCACATCGTGCGCGAGAGTCCGTTAAAACTAACAGTGTCGTCCGTGTTATGATGCATAACCAGATGATATTGTTTTGATGGGTGTAATCTCTTAGATATGTTTTAAGTGTTAAGTCCTTTTTTGTTCCTCGTATTGTTGTTTTAGGCGTGTTTGTGTTTGTTTTTGTTGTAACCGAAAGTTGTATTCAACATTAAATTTCTTAGTTACAAAAACTAAATTACATATTAAGAGGGCATACAATAATCATGTTGTGGAACTTGTTTCAAGAGTGGAACAATGTGCTCGTGTGTGTCTGGGATGACAACATATACCACATAATCTTACCATTTTGTCAGTTGAATCAAGTTCAGTTATAATACGTGTGTTGTTAGGGCGTTCAATTTTCTTCCTTTGCATATTTCCGTTGTACCAAACTATGTCCTCTTGATATTTAGGCCAAAATTTCACCTTTGCTACCACCGATAAGCTATTGTTGTACATATTGAATACATTTATGACTTTGTAAATGATGGATAGATGCTTGGAAGAGTCATGACGAACATATGAACATGCCGTAATGACATGGGAGTAAGGCATACTGAAGGGGTTGAAACTTTCTGCAGTCACACCAACATCTATTTAGTTTGACCCGATAGTATCCCCTTGGTCTCCCCTCATTATGGATTAGGGAATATGACAATGGTCAACGATGGAGCCACATGACAACAAATCTTGTGGAATCAATGAATTATATCTTCAAAGGCATTTGAAACCTACCTATAACCGCTTTGGTCAGAGCAACTTATTTTATGCTAGGGCCACTGTTTGAGATCAGATGTTCAAAATAAAGTTCAATGTTACAATTGAGACAAATGTTCAATGAAATTAATTAAGGAAGAAGCTGCCAAAGCTAACACACATGTGGTCACAATATTTGATCGTACTAAAGGTTGATTTAGTATTGCCGAGACAATGGATCATAATGAAGGGAGACCGATAGATACTATCGAGTGGAACTAAATAGAGGTTGGTGTGACTGCGAGAAAGAAAAAGGACCGCCCTAACAACACGCGTATTCGAACTGAAATGGATACCACGAACAAAAGGTGAAATTATGTAGTTCATGTCGTCAGCCCATACACAATCGTACACACTGTCCCAATGTTGGACCAACCACAACAACATAATTTTAAATGTAACTGTTTTGCTTTATATCAAAAACAACTTTCATTTCATAAATATCATAACATTCAGTTACAATAATTTGAAAACATCAAGTAAACAATAATTTAAACAACAATTAAAAAAACAGTGATTGAAAAACATAACTATGTTATTACAACCATCAAGATAATTTTCTGAAAACTATACATCATCATATGAACATCTCTGTCAGTTTTAACATTTTTCCCGAAACGAATTTCTCCATTTTGGTTGAAGTGGTAATAAGCATTTGAATTCTCCTGAGCTTTTCACCCTCTAAAATGTATCTATCTAACCAACGAATCAAGCTCCTGTTAAAATGTTTGAACGTCTTCGTATTCCAGAGTCGGATCTTTATCGGAGAATTTACTGTCGAATAAATTAAATCGACATTTCTCTTGTGAATATATGAACACATATATGAAGACATTTTGAAGAAAAATGGAAGGAGATTGAAGAAAAATGGAAGGAGATAGTAAGAAGATGTGTGAAAAATGAAGAGGAGAGGAAAACTATATTTATAAAATATACAAATAAAGGAGTAGCCAAATGCATTGGCGCATGTTCCTAGTGGATGCATGCATGCGCCACATGCATTGACACCATGCATATGCCATGTTGAATGTCGCCTCTATGTAAGTCACCAAAACATGCAGCATGTTGAATGATGCCTCCACTTGTCGTCCTAAAAAAACAAAGTTAATTTGATAAATAAATTGAAAGCATTATTATTTTTGTATATAATTTGAAAAATGTGGTTTTAAAACAAAATCAATATTTGAGAAATAATTTAAGTTGATGGAATTAGCGGGTGGGTTATACAAAGAACAAAGTAGAATAAGAAAACAATTTGCCAAATAGGCATTTTTATTTAATTAATTATTAATGAATATTGATGATTTATAAAAAAAATACTTTTTTAGTGGAATAGTTGTTATTAAATAAACAAATATTGAAAATTAATAAAAAAATCAACTCAGTGGAGTAATTGCTTTTTTAAGGAAAAATTAGTGGAATAATTATCATTAAATAAATAAATAAAATATACTAAATTATAGAATTGACATCTCGTTTGGTGTCAAAAATTATTAAAGGACTTAACAATTTTATGCATAAAATTAAATGACTTAACAATATCGAAAATTAATAAAAAGAAAAAAATATTAAATTAGTGGGATGATTATTTTTTTAATGGGAAATTAGTGAAATAATAGTAATTAAATAAATAAACAAAATATACAAAATTACAAAGTTATTGAATGACATAGATTTTATATATAAGACTATGACTTAACAACTTTTATATATAAGATAACAAAATATATATAAAGAGAATGCTTTGTTTTGGTATAACCTATTTTTCAAATATTTTTATCCTTATTGTATTATGTATTATAATAACTTCTATTAAAACTATTATTATTGATTTTCATATAATCTTTTACTATTAACATCCACATATTATATTTTTAAAAATTATCTATAACAATATATAAAAGAAATAATATGTCGTTTTAGTGTAGTCTATTTTTCTACCATTTTTATCCTTATTTTATTGTGTATTTTATTTAATAATTTTTATTGAAACCACTCTTATTAACTTTTACGTAACCTTTTATTATTAACTTCAATATTTTGTATTTTTTAAAAAATTATATTTAATTTATAACAATATATAAAGGGAATAATATTTCGTTTTGGTGTATTCTATTTTTTTTTTTTACCATTTTTATTCTTATTTTATTGAATATTCACTCTTATTAACTTCTTATTATTAACTTCAATATTCTGTATTTTCTAAAAATTATATTTAAATAAAAAATATTATTTATATTTTTATTGAAGCGCAGTAAAAAAAATGCTAATAACAAATAAATTCAAAATCATTTATATTATTTTTAGTTAAATTTTTATAAAAACTATATTTTCAAATATACTTTTTTACCAAATTTTTTTATAACAAACAGAATTTTTAAAAGACTTTTAATGAAGTTTCTGATTCTCAAATACATATTTGTTTATCTATAAGACTTAAACCAGTTAATAAAAATCTAAGTCAATTTCCATTCAACAAAATGTTGGTAAAGCTTTAAATGTTTGTTGATTCAAATTAAATAAATGAGAAAAAAACAGTAACATTAATAACTTTACCTAGATAATGTCAAATTAAAAAACTTTAAATAGATATATAGAGTTTTGACTATTTATTATTTAAAACTAAATTAAAATGGTCAATTTGGACTGTAAGCAGCCAAAGGTAGAAGAAGATTATAAGAAAAGGTAATAAAAAGTGTACATCGAAATCAAAAAATGAAAGACCCAAATTATTAAGAAAAAAGCTAAGCAAGAGAGAAAAAAGTGGAAAAGAGAGTGTTTCATACGTGATCCATTTCCAAAACCTACCTACACCACAAACTACTTTTTTCTCACTACTTAAAAATAAAAAATACCCAATTCATTTGTGATTCTCTAAATTGAAAAAGATTTGATTTTTCAATCTGGGTTTTTTGTTTTGCTGGTGAATCTGATCAGAGAAAAATAAGGGCCATGTCGTGTTCGTCTTCATCGGGATCGGAAGATGATAATGAAGGGGTTGAGTCTTATCGGAAAGGTGGGTACCATGCCGTTAGAATCGCCGATCAGTTCGCGGCTGGGAGATATATAGCTCAGAGGAAGCTTGGTTGGGGTCAATTCTCCACCGTCTGGCTTGCTTATGATACTATCACCTCTGTATGCTCTTCTTTCTTTTTGTTTTTAATCATTTTCACATGTGATTCGTGTTTTTGATTTCATAGCTTTGTATATTTAATGCTATTTTCTGTTATTGAATGAATGGATCTGAATTAGATTTTTTTTTTTTTTTGATTTTGCTTTTGTTCAACGTGTGTTACAATTACAAATTCCCAAATTTCCTTTTTTGTTATATGGCTGAAAATGGGTGAATGGTCCTCACAAAAATGTGACCTTTTTAAGTTTTTTTTTTGTCTCTATGCTGGGGAGCAATAAATGTTCATGTTTGAACTGGTTCATATTTGGTGCTTGTTTTTAGTGTATTATGATCCTCCTCGATAACCGCGATGAATTATATACTCTTTGTCTTTAATATCTAATCTAACACATGTACATTTACTATTTATGTTTGTTGGAAGGATATGGTATGGAAATTATTGTTGTTCTCAAGTTAAATTCTGATTATGTAGTATTTTTCTCCCTCTCTCTCTCTGTTAAGATTTAGGAGCTAGCTTTTTAATGTCGAAAATCATTTTTTCATTAGTAAGAGTTTTGATACCATAAATGACATGAGTTATTGGAGGATCTTGCTAATGTTTGATTATTTTTTGTCCACCATTTTGTATCTTTTTCTAATTTTAAGATTTTGGTTTTCAGTCATACGTTGCTCTCAAAATCCAGAAAAGTGCGGCCGATTTTGTTCAGGCTGCCCTCCACGAGATCGATGTTCTTTCATCCATTGCTGACGGTGACCCATCAAATTCAAAGTTTGTTATTCAATTGATTGATCACTTTAAGCACACAGGTCCCAATGGGCAGCACCATTGCATGGTCCTTGAATTTCTCGGCGATAGCTTGCTTCGTTTGATCAGATATACCCGTTACAAAGGTCTTCCACTGAATAAAGTTAGAGAGATATGTAAATGCGTTTTGATTGGTTTGGATTACTTGCATAGTGAGCTCGGTATAATCCACACTGACTTAAAACCTGAAAACATTCTTCTATTTTCAACTATTGACCCTGCCAAAGATCCTTTTAGTTCTGGTTGCTCCCCAATTTTAGAACGGCCCGTGGGAAACACAAACGGTGGACTTACAAGTCTTATTGAGAAAAGGTTGAAGAGGAGAGCAAGGAGTGCAGTTGCTAAAATATCAGGAAGAACAGCTTCAATTGAAGGTAGAGGAGAAGCTGCAAAATCTCGTAGAAATATTGATAAGATTGACATGAGATGCAAGATTGTCGATTTTGGAAATGCGTGTTGGGATGATAAGAAGTTTGCGGAAGAAATACAAACAAGGCAGTATAGAGCCCCTGAAGTTATACTGAAGTCCGGATATTCCTTCTCTGTTGACATGTGGTCTTTTGCTTGCATTGCTTTTGAGCTTGCCACCGGAGATATGTTATTTGCGCCCAAAGGTGGACGAGATTATAGCGAGGATGAGGTATGATATCTTTGCTAATAAACTAGTATGGTTTAATTTTTAAATGTTCTACCACTACCATGAATTGTTAACCATAGGTTTCCTTGCATTATTTAAGATAGTACTGAACTTGTTAAAACACTTGGACTATTTATTATCGGAATAATAAAATGACCATTGTACTGATTTCAGGATCATCTTGCCCTGATGATGGAACTCCTAGGAAAGATGCCGCGGAAGGTAAGTTTCACTCCCAATTTCAATATGTTTTATTTGACCTAGATCACCTATAATAGTAATTTCACGCATTAAACGATATCAACCGTTAATCTAAGATCGTCCATGGTTGAGGTTAAAAACTGTGATGTGTATCTGCACCGAATTCAATTCCATTTTATTTCATGAATTAATATTCTGGCATATCAAATACTGGTTGATTGCAGATTGCTATCGCTGGAGCTCAATCCAAGGATTACTTTGACAGACACGGTGATCTAAAAAGGATTCGAAGGCTAAAATATTGGCCACTTGACAAACTACTAATTGATAGATACAAATTTTCAGCGAACGATGCTCGGGAGTTTTCAGAATTTCTTTTGCCACTTTTTGATTTTGCGCCAGAAAAACGACCAACTGCACGACAATGCCTGCAACACCCCTGGCTGAACTGCAAGGAGTCATCACCAAATGAAACAAGAAACGAATCTACCGTCGAAAAAGTTAATGTTGGTATGAGCAACCTTCAAATCAAGGTAGGAAAGTGAAGGTGACAGGGCATTTACCACAATCAAACATTTTGGAGGATCAAAACAAAAGTCAGATGTGAATCATCGAATCTTAATCACAACTTTAACATGAATGACTATAGTACTGATTGCACTTTCTTTTTGGTTCATTCGATTTAATGAGATTCTTCCCATTGGATTCTTAACTACAGAGATGTAAATTAGTACAGAATTTTGTTCATGCAGAGATATCTGACATCAGAATTTAAATTTGCGTGTATATTAATCACATGTTGTAAGTTGTTACATTCATCCAAGTCTAATCTTGTTAAAAATAAAAATGAGCAATATTTAATCAAGCACTACAATAGATGATTTAAATTTAATACGTATGAGTAAATTGTTCTAAATTGATAATCTGTGTTTTTTTCCTGGAAAATATAACTTAAGTGTTAACTATACAAATATAATAGAACTAGAATGATCAATTTGTGGTCCGACAGTTCAGTTGGTAGAAGAAACATCAGATTTGCGGAGAGAATTTCTAGTCACCAGACTATTTACTAAAGAATAATTAATTTGTGAAAATTAAATTTAAAACTCCAAAAAATAATCAAATTAATAAATTAACAACATATCATAAACGGCTCTATAAAAAAATAAAATAAAATAAAAATTAAAATCATAAGCGGTTAACCACTTAACCGACACACGTTGCTTGCAAGTTTCAGTTTGAAATCAAACCGCCAATATTCGCGCAGCTTGGATAACAGAATGAAATACTACTGTGAGTGAGTGAGTGAGCTATTTCCCGATTAAACGTCGACGTTTAATCAGAAACCCTAGGATTCCTCATTGACTATCACGCTCTTCATATTCGTCGCGATTCTCGCAGCGAAGCTTGATGGCGACCATTAGGCCATTACCGGAATCTGTTCGTAGTTCAATTCGTTCCGGCATTTCGTTGTTTGATTTCACAAGAATCGTCGAGGAACTGGTTTTCAATAGCCTCGACGCTCGTGCTACAAAGGTATCTCATACTCTATTATACATCTTTGCTTTCAATGTTTTGGTAATCGTAGTCGGTTGTTATAGATAGAGAATTGGAAAGTGCTTATAGCTATACCATGAACTCTGTTATTTTTTGTTTTAGGTATCGGTGTTTGTTAATATTGGGAGTGGGAACTGCTTCTTAAAAGTAGTTGATGACGGTAAATTTTGTTTTATTTTAGAAATTTATGTTTTTTATTTGCATGCTAAACTTGTGGCTAACTTTAGCTTTTTATTCATCTTTATAATTCAATGAATCGGTTTGTAGGAGATGGAATTACTCGAGATGGACTGGAATTGGTGGGAGAAAGATATGGTGTGTTATGTGTATCTTCATTTTTGGTTCTTTATCTTCGATGATGTGGACTTGTTGTTGGTTTATTCGTGCGAATATGTGATCATTTTGATGTGCCCACGTGTTCCTTTTCTTGATGTGTTTTCTCAATCCGTGGTGATTAAGACTCTTTTTGCGAGTTTGAGAGTTAGAGGGCATGAGAAGGGAGGACTTTTTGGAAGGAGGAAAATGAAATGGAAGAAAGGATATTTCAGTAACTTGAATAGGGAGATTTGTTTTCCTTCATAATACAAAATTCTTCCGTAAAATGGGGAAACTAAAAAATTGTATTGAATTGAGGGTTAAGAAGGGTTTAGATAAATTCTTCAAATTCAATCTATGTTATAATACTCTCATAATAAAAAATATATTAGAGATAAACATTCATTTATCATTCTTCACAATAGCATCCTCTTAAAATATGTGAAGATTTCTCTATTTTTAATCTACTCTCCTCCTCCCAAATTCCCGCTTTCCCTCCACTCCAAACTCGCAAGCAGGGTCTAAAAGGCAGCCAAAAGACATTTATATATTACTTTTAAAGATTTTTCTACTTACGAATGAGCCATTGTTACTAGATAAAGTTGTGTTCATGCGGTGGTCTTGAAGGTATGCCTACCAGCAAGTGGTGGCTTACCACACGGGGGATGGCTTGCTACTGCGTTTCCAAACACGCGCTAAGTGATTTTGCCTATCCCCTGTCACGCGATCAACTTTCTTTTGTGGTTATATGTGATGTGATTGAACTGCTTTTTGGTCCCATATCCAGCTGCTCTTCATGGCTAGTCCCATGACTCTGAATATTACTTCTTCCGTCTCTAATTATAAAATTCACTTTCCATATTCGTAGTCCATTTTTATAAGACGCTCTACAAACTTTCACGTGCACTAATGGTATCTTTTCAACAATACCCCTATTAAAATTTATAATTGAAGGAATAGTTATGTGACATTAACACACTATTACAAATTTAGGTGAGTTTCTTTTAGGTGTTTATTTTCTGCGAATAAATTTTCCTTGCTGCCTTTGATAATACCGTGAATGCATATTTGTCAAGCAGCAACATCAAAATTTCTTAATTTGGCTGACCTAAATACCACAAGTGAAAACTTTGGTTTTCGTGGTGAAGCTTTAGCTTCCATTTCCGAAGTCTCTTTGTTGGAAATAGTGACAAGAGCTTATGGAAGGCCAAATGGTTATAGAAAAGTATTGAAGGTAAGGATAACTTCCAACGTTTTATTTAGTAGACTAATCATATTATAGCTGCTATTAATGCAAGGTTTGATATTTTATTTTATTGACTGCAGGGGTGCAAGTGTTTATACCTTGGTATTGATGATGATAGAAAGGAAGTAGGCACAACAGGTGATAAAGTTTGATTAGTCTGACAGTTGTATAGTTTTTGTTTGTATGACTAAAGATGGAACCTATTAATGCATAGACGACATTCCTTTTTCCTAAATCTACATGTTACATGAGATATAGGTAGTGTTTGGCAGATAGATTAAAATAGGGCATAGTATAATATATGGAGTCTGTTTCATATTTGGTGCATAATAAAAAGGATAGAATAGAGTATAATGTCAGACAAGTGATGCCTTTTGGTTCCACTGAAAAGGTGAAATGGAAGAGTTATGTTTTGTTTGCATGCCAAACGCTACTCTAGAGTCATGGAAATCTTACAAAATCATTAATCTCCTCTTAAAGTCTGTTGATTTTCAATTTGAGCTATTTAGGATATCAAGATTGTTATTCTTTGTTTTTGTGGCTCTTTCATTTAGAATCTCATTATTTTATGTCTTTGAACTTTTGACTTTCAGTTTATTGATTTTTAGATCATCCCGCACTTGATAATTAATCTCCACTTTGGCTTTCAGTTACATTATTTTCCATCTCTTCCACACAGGGAAATCCGCGATACATGTTCCATATATTCATTGTATTCATGAGACTAGAAAATCCTTTCTTTGATGATGACTACTTTTATCTGGTTTACTTAATACAAGTAATTAATTACTAATTAAGGCCTTATGTCTTTCAGTCATTGTCTGTGAAATATTTTACAACCAACCAGTTCGGAGGAAGCACATTGAATCCAGGTTGCTTTTCTCTTATCCACCTTAGAAGTGATATGTTTTCTGTGGTTGTAGTTTTCTTTTATGGAAACTATGGCTCATTCGAAAATTTGGATTGACTGATGAGTTTCGTCTTTGAATTGGAAGCCCCAATAAGGTACTTCAATCAATCAAGAAATGTATAATGCGGCTTGCACTTGTGTGCCCAAATATTTCCTTCAAAGTTGTTGATATTGAAAGGTATCTTCTCTGAAAAATTTCAAGTTGTATCTTTTTTATTTTGTCACATTTTTTACACCTTATGTGTAGAGAGGATGAACTTTTCTGCTCACATTCTGCTGCTTCTCCACTGTCACTTGTAACCGCTGGCTTTGGGGTGGAGTTCACAAAGTCTCTTCATGAATTAGAAGTTGAAAACAATATCATAAAGCTTACTGGATACATATCAGATCCTTGCAATACCTTTGATATGAAGGTGATTTATATATCTAATGCAAAACGTCAATCATCTATCTCATCTCATTGTAACTTCGGGGTTGATTTTTTTGTCTCATCCCCTAACTTTTGGTGTGTTATACTATATTTTCTTTGCAGGCCTTACAGTATCTCTGTATCCATGTGATAATACATATTGTAATTGTAATAATAGTACAAAGTGGATGTGTTGAGGCTTGAAAAAGAACCAAATTTCGTGAACATTTGTTCGTTGACTTTAACATGGTTAGATATTAACTCACAGTTCGTTTGCAAGGGACCCATTCATAAGCTTTTAAGTCAACTGGCTATTAGATTTGAGCATCGTAACTCGTGGAGTGCTGATAATGAATGCAAAAACAAAAAGAGAGACAGATCGCAGCCATGTCCGGCATATATCTTGAATTTAAGGTGCCCCCGCTCTTTATATGTTTTGAGCTTTGAGCCATCAAAAACTTATGTTGAATTCAAGGTAGTCTCCTGGTTTTTTCTCAACTACTCCAGAATTATCTTATTAGTAATTAGTAATTAGTAATTTTGAGTTTGTGCTGTATAATTGTTTGCATAATATCCATAAATGATTTTTGTATGGTACACAACGACATGAACATAGAAGGGAAGTGCAAAATTTTTCTCATAACTATAAGTGCCAAAGGTCAACTTTGAGTCCTTATCTTGATTCCATTTGTGCATGAGATAGTATTGTGGTACATATTTTTGCGATATTGCCTTTGTTGGAAAATCAAGAGAAGAAATGATTGAGAAGTTAGAGACATGGAAACACATGATATCTTTCTAAGAAATAGAAGTATAAAACAAAGTATATGGAATACAAAAATTAGCAAGAGAGACATAAATACTTGTAGCGGTAAAACATGGAGAGCATACCATAATACTGAGGGTTCATTGTAGAAAGGGATGGTGAGATGAAGAAAATGCCAACCATAGGATTTGAGTAGATAAAATAGATGTTGTAAATAATTTATTTGTACTATTGTAGTAGTAATTTGAGTTTGTACCTTTAGTCCATTAGTCACGCCCATTAGGGTAGAATAGTCTATACGAAAAGATTAGTCCTTGTACATTATTCATACTGTAAATATAT